GCTCTGGGATATTAAAATGTTCCTTTCTGGCGGACTGTACCATTCTCCATCTTGTGATAAAAGAAGATATCAGATGCTCTTTTTTGTAAGAAAAACACGGAGCCCAGAATCACAGATGTCTTAACAACCGTCTGTTATACTTTTGCATTAAATATACACATTGTTACAATCTAATTCAAATATGCCTCAATTAAATCTGTTTATTATCAACTAAGGATTGAAAAAAAAGGTCACAGCAGAATGCATATAGCATTTAAAGTATTTAACTGCGACTGAAAATTTGAATCAAGTCACCGATTCATCTATTTAACCTGAACAATATAATCCTCTATTATACATCATGTTGCAAATTAGGACTGTAGCCATGCCATCCCTCCATCTAGTGCTCTTTTGCCGTGCACTCCACCTGGCTGTTTTTGCTGGCTGCCCAACAACTAAGCTGGCTCCCCCTTCTGCCCCACCTTGTAAACCCCCGTGCTCCCCTGGCTCCTCTGTGAGCCCGGGGCCACTGCAGTGAGATGAGAACAGTAGAATTTCATTGACCAATCACCACTAAGCTTAAAAAAATGCAGAAGTACTCAGAGCTGTCAGAGTACTGGCCAAGTAACGAATGTGCACCCCGAATTGGGATTCTGAATGCGTTTGCGGGGGCAGGAGATAAACTGTTTTTAATTAACTTTTTTTACTTCACTTCATTATTATCACATGGGGGCTCACATGCCTCCTATGTGATAGAACCGATCATCTCCAATGTGCTATTTAAAGGTGACAATGGGGTCTATTTGACCCCTAGTGTCACCTTTCCACTTCAATAGCTTTAGCTGGGGAATGACAGTTGAATGTAAACCCAGCAGGCAGTGGCTGGGAGCAGTAGCCAGCCTGCTATTGGCTATTCCAAATTGCAATAGTAGGCTGGCTATTGCACCCACCCACTGCAAATCAGCAGAGGGTGGACCTGAAGGAGAAAGTTCTTATTCAAGTCCTCCTCTGCTGATTGACATCAGGCAGTGGGCGGGTGCAATAGCTAGCCTGCTATTAGTTATTGCAGTTTGTAATAGCCAATAGCAGGCTGGCTATTGGTCCCAGCCGCTGGATTGGAGACTTGTCGAAAGGGACACAGAACGCAGCGGGCTCCCAGCGGAGACCTGGGATTTGTTGAGCCCTGAAATATAGGATGCAAAACTAGCTCTCTAGAGAGATAAACTATAAAATAAAAAATTACTAAGTGTTATTGATTAGGAACACTGTGATAATGCTGGCAGCAGTGGCCAAGTAAAGACAAGATTGGGGACTAAATTATGCAAAGTCTGCAGGCAGGGGATGCATCAGGAGTCTAATAGATCTCTAATGTCCCCATAAAGAATACCTGTAACTGGCTCTATACTAGGCTTGTGGACATGATAACACAGCTCTGAATTGCTAAGCATGTGGTGTCCAGCCCTGCTGCTTAATTCCTGATTATTTACACAGAAAACAGACCTCTCCTAACCCCCCTATCTCCATAACCCTTCCTTAAGCACAGGCAAAGAGCACAGGAAGCCAATAAAATCTACAGATAGATAACCCTTTTAAATGGTATGTTTAGCAGACCAAAAGCCAGCAAATACGAGAATCTAGTTGCTAGGGTTTACATAAACTTTAATTAACAAGAATTGCAATTAACAAATAATTAAAAACAACAGGCACATGAAACGGTGAACAGCAGTGGACAGTCCTCCCGAAATTTATGGTTGTGCCACTTTGGTCATTATGAAGCCAATCACATAGGTTGCACTTCCTCCCGACTTTTAATAAATAATTATATAAAATGATACATTAGCATTCAAACTCTTTGAGACAAGTCAGTTGTGAATCATACAACACTTACAGCAGACACTGCTCTCTGTGTGTGCAGAAATTGCCTGCAAGTTTTACAGCCCATATAGAGCATCATCTACTCAGGAAAGGCTGAACCGGAGTAGGAGATGACAGGTATTCACTGTCTATTAGAAGTGGCCAGAGTTTGAATGAAAAATCTACGGTTAGTCTTACCGGTAACGGTATTTCTAAGAATCTTCCAGGACAGCAAGCCTACTTCAGGTTGCTGTCCAGGAAGATTATTGGAGAAATCTATGGTTAGTCTTACCGGTAACGGTATTTCTAAGAATCTTCCAGGACAGCAACCTGAAGTAGGCTTGCTGTCCTGGAAGATGATTGGAGAAATAATGTTTGTACTTGCAGTAAAAATCAGTTTATTAAAGCTCATTACAGTACACAGGAGACAATTAGGTTATACTGCTGCCTACAGGAGGCATTGGACACTGTCAAACAAAAACGTTATTTTTGCCAGTCAGGTATAGCCCCTCCCACTATGTTTCAGTTTGGTAGAAAAGCAGTATCAGGAGAAAATCACTAAAACAGATGGGTGAAACCTGTATCCCTTAAAGTACTCCAAGAAACAGATTTTAAAATAAGTACAAATAATTACAATAAGTACCAAAAAAAAAACCCATTTTCTTGATGTCTCATTAAGGGACTCAGGATCAGAAGTAAATTAAAGTCAATTGGGGCATCCCAGAGCGGTCTGACTGAGGCAAAGTGGCAAACAAACTCTAACAAAACCCACAGAACAGTGTAAAAACTGGGGGCAGCCCAAGCCCTAAAGAGCTGCTTGTAGGTCCTTATAGCAAACGCTTGCAAATGCTGAAGCTTGGGAAGACTCAGAGGAGGGTACGGACTCAAGCAGGGGGGACAACGACCCAGGCTATCGGGATCAGCTCCTTGAGGAGGGACGCAGACTGCCCGAGGGCCGCTAGTAGCTCGTAAGCTGGAAAGTGGGACTGGTCCCTTTGCATTTATGAGCCAACATTCTTCACTGCAACTGGGGCATGATAACTAAAAAGAAAGATCTTGGGTACTCACAAACCAGCTGCTGAAAGCAGGAGAGGTTATATGGCCAAAGTGACTGTAGGCAGAAGCAAGGAAAACCCGAAGAAAAAAAAAGGGGGTTTCCCTTGCCAGCAGAGTAATGGTGGTAAGACTACCTCAGGCTGAAAAGGCGGGAGGTGGCGGTCTTGAGTTCACAAGCAACACTGCAGTTAGTGATACAGCACTCCAGCGCTTTAACTCTTTCAGGGAGAAAAAAAACAATCAGGAGAAAATATTAAGAGTGTGCCATGCTCCTATAAGGCTAAGTCCAGACTTAAAGTTATAGGCTTGGAGAGCATTCTACAGTGACCAAGCAAAGTACAGGAAAGTGCCATATGCAGGATCCAGTGATTAATGCCACAATTAAGATATCTTTTCACCCCATCCACAAGCATACATCATGAAGCATGATGGGAGTGGAAGGGGTTATACCTGGCTAGTCAACAGCATTTTTGTTTGTCAGTGTCCAAATCCTCCTGTAAGTAGCAGTATAACCCAATCATTCTGATTTACATATGATTGTGTCCTTTAATGAACAATAAAGAAAAGATCGTCAGGAAGGGGTCCAGGCTGAGATTTTTGGGCTAGTTAGGTGTTGCCCTAGGGCAGTGGTGGCGAACCTTGGCACTCCAGCTGTGCCAAAACTACAAATCCCAAGATGCATCTGCCTCTGGGAGTTATGTCTGTGGCTGTCAGAGCCTTGCAATGCCTCATGGGACTTGTAGTTCCAAAACAGCTGGAGTGCCAAGGTTCACCATCACTGCCCTAGGGTGTCCAAAGGGGTGGGGCTTACTGGTAAGGCTACCAATATTTCAAACATGACAAAAAAAAGAGCAATGTCAGTTTGCTTTTGCAGCTTATTTTGTTTCACTAAAATCCCCTACTGAGTCTGTTGTAATGACTCAGCGGGGGGAATTTAACAAAACTGGAGCAGGCAGAATCTGGAGCAGTTGCCCATGGCAACCAATCAGCTTCAGTTTGTTCAGTTAATTTAAATTAACCTATAGAAAAAAATGCAGTCCTGTGACCATTATAAAACTAGGAAATTATGCACATATACAATATAATAGATTAGCTTATAAAAGACATTCTAGCTTTATCGCAATTGGAAGCAAGTCATAAAAGTTTCAGAAAAACAAATTTACCAAATGTTCACAATCCTTTCTACAAGACAGAAATGAAACCATGCAGCGATGGATCACAATGACAGTTGCTAGAGCTACCATCCGCAAACAACCAGAGGAATTCACAGGAACTTGTTTGACCTTGTAAAACTACTAAATGCCATTTAGGTATTGATACGAGTCATTCAGTAAAACCTTTCTTGCAATACTGTTTATTCCTGTCAGCCCTTTAAAGTATTCTAAGAAACACATACAAGACACATTACAGTTTGTTAACCCCAGCTTCTTCATTTAAAAAGAAAATGTTGTAATCTCAATAGAAACTAGTAGTCCATCACTGGAGCCTTTTTTTTTTTTTTATCCGATTAATCGATTAATCGAACTTAATAATCGGCTAACTAATCGATTATGAAAATAATCGTTAGCTGCAGCCCTAGTCTTAGTGCAATGTGGCCGATTCAGTGCACAGGGACTATTTACTTTTCAAAGTGTATGTTAGACAAAATAAGGCCAAGCTGTGCTCACTTCAGTAGCCGATAACAGCTTTTCAATTTCCCTTGCAAATGAACACAGGTTCACATTATTTACTATCATTTCACTTTCACAAAGTCTCTCCCCCTTTAGTAAATCAACAACAATATCTCTACTCTGATCAGCGCAGTCTACATTATTAACACAGATACTGATTGCCCCATGTAACACAAGTCAGAAACTTGTCATAGGTGGTACTTTCTCCCTGTCCTCAACTTTCCTTATGGATATGTGCCTAAACTACTGAAAGGAAATGTTCAGATTTAAGAAGGGACAGAACACTCCTAGGTAGCGACCCCAGAAGATTATCAAGCATTGTTAATAACGGTTTTGCCTCAAAATGAAGCAAAAAAAAAATCATTTTATAACAAGGTATGCAAATAGAACATATTTGTTTTATTAGGTAAATATTCTATCCTTAGTAAGCAGATAATTGACTCACCGGAGGTAATCTCAGGCTTTCTTTATCGTGTTCCTTCTCTTTGCTGCAACACAAAAAGGGGAAAACTTGTAACCTCACGTATTGAACGTTTAAATAGTACACATTTCTATATTAACACATCATAGGCGTGATATACTGTACATAGACTTCAAGAATATGTATTTTTTAAGAAAAAAAACCAATACAAAACAGAACTCGTTAAACACGCTGTCCCCTGCGGGGGATCATATTTGTTATTGAAGTACAATATTATGATCAACAATGATTAAATCCAAATATCAATGTCCAATGTGTCTAGGCAAGATATAATATAGTAAGCCATTGTCTATAATAGCAAAAATACCATCCAATACAATGCTCCGCTGGTGTTTGCCATCTGATGGATGCACAGAGCACTGGGTTGCATCCATCATGTCATGTCCCCCATGCACCCCTACAAACTTTTGAAGGTGACGAGCATGGAGCCGGTTTTATAGCCAATCAGAAAGTTGCGGGGTGTATAATGACTTGCCGTCTGGATTCCTGATTGGTCGGGAAGCTGGCCAATCAGGAATCTGGGCGGCCAGTCATTACACGCCGCCCGGCTTCCTGATTGGCCGGAAAGCCAGCTCCATGCTCCCTGGTGACGGGGGAGCATGGAGCCGGCTTCCTGGCTAATCAGGAAGCTGCCTAGTGTGTAATGACTTCCCGCCCAGCTTCCCGATACCGAAGTTTAGGTATCGGGATAGGCATTGGGAGCATTTAGGCGAGTATGAGTACTCACCCAAATACTCGGTATCGGCACCGATACTTGTATCAGTATTGGTGCATCCCTAAGTTTAACAATAAAACTGTGCCTCATGTAAACCCCAGTGCTTGTAGTATTGGATATCATTGTGACATGCAGGGGTGCAGGGACCACCAATCTGGGAAAAATGCAGACATATCAGATTGGCTATAATGGCTAAAAATCCCACTGTGGGTTTGTATACATGTATTCAAGTCTTAAATGATATGTTTGTTACTTACCTGTGGGGATTGTTTAGGAGGCAAACCAAATAATGCGGCCAAAAGATCCAGGAACAATGACAATCTCTAAAAGGACTAGCTAAAAACTTTTCTATTATATGTAGGCACCAGCCAGTACCCTAGAAGAACTGAATAGACTTCAATGTCAGAGCAATGCCTGCATATCCATTTAGATGCTCTAAGAATACTATATTTATGCTATAGATGTCTAAACAAGTGCAAATATAAACCTACCTGGGCTCTGACAATACTTCCATTCCGGGAAATTCCTGTATGTCTACACCTTTAGAGGTGACAAAGCTTTCTGCGCTCTGAAACAAATAAAAAACAGTCATTAAATAGTATCATCTTACTCCTTTAATAGTAAGATACAAAAGGGCACATTTTAGAATTTAATTATGTTTGGGCTAAGTATATGCCCACAGAAAGCAGCCCATTTTACAGCTAAAACCCAAATTACATATTAAGGAGAGCATGGTCATTGAAACTCCCAGACAAAGCTGGAGGTTAAAGCCTCTGCCTCCATAACAGCAAATTATCTACAGTATATAATCAAGAATAAATAAGAAAGTGCTTGAAATGCTTCAAATGTCTTTTCAGTTTTTCCTGAGTAATACAATTATAAGCTACTTTGTACAAGAGCAGCACAGTAAAGGAGAAAGATACATTAATCACACATTGTGATAACGGCATAGGTTTGGAATAGATCACTGTCGCTGGATAAATGCATCCATGGGCAGTGATCTATTCCAAACCGTATGTAATATCATATACGATTACATGGGGACTGCTGCTTACAGATGCAGCTGCTGACACCCGGTCATTAAAAGGTACATGGGCCGCATCTAAACGGGACACCTGGGATTCCAGTCGCAGGAAATCATAGGTTCCTGCCGCAGGAATCCGAAATCAGCCAGTGTGAACGAGGCCTTACACTGGAACTGCCTGAAACTATTCTGCTTCCAATTACATTATAAAAAAACACCAGGTTTTACTTTTCACAGCGCGATATAATTTGCATGCACCTAATGCCTGTGATGATCACTGATAAAGCTGTTCAGCAAGATCTCTTCCAGTTTATGAAACATGGCATAAAGGAGAACTATGAGGTGAGCGATTCTCACTCAACCTCATAGTTCGAGCCGACGTGCGACAATGAAACTGTCACACGTCAGCTCAATAGATCGGGAAGTGAGCTAACACATACCGTCGCTCGCTCACTTCTCGATCGTGTACCTGCAGAGAGCCGTGACTGTCACTCACGGCTCCCTGCAGGATTCCCTCCCTCCTCTCTCCAGCGCTGACTGGGGGAACGGACGGGGGGGGGGTACAGCTAGCTCTGCCTGTAGATAGGCAGAGTCAGCTGTCAATCACGCAGCTGGGTGGATCTCGACAGTAATGTCGAGCTGTAGCTCTCGATATTCTACGCTTTGGGTAACGGGAGGACGCTAGTTTATGTCCTCCTGTGACCCTTAGGAGAACAATGGGGAAAAACACTTACTCCATAGTTCTCCTTTAATATTTACTTCAAGCCTATGTTTAAGAATGGTCACCACAGGTGGTTCAGAAAGAGTTGGTACATATAAATAAATCATGGTTCCACAAGACAAAAACAGTGAGGTTACATCCATTGTTTTTCTACCAGGGTTCCTAAAAAGGTCCTCCAGAGGTTGCTAGGGGCAATTTTTACCCCTCAAAAAAAAGTAACCACTGACACCAATAATGTTTTTTAGCGATCTGTAAGGGAGGCACATTGTAACAACTGTTCATCAATGTAAGAAGCATTCTTTCCACCGATCACCATGCTGGTGTATCATGAGCAGCGATTAGTTGGGGTTCCCGGAGAGCGGAAAGCTATTTTGAGGGTTTCTTAGTGTTAAATTTGTTGAGAACTGCTGGAATACATAGAGATTAAAGTGTCTTATAGCTGCTTCTTTTCACTATCTCCTCTCACATTATTGTGTTGACTAAATCACGGTTTTGTCCTTACTATCTTCTGTTGGTGACGGCTGTAGCCAATATTTCCTTCACAGAGAAACGTTAAGAGGACATGTACAGCGATTCTGGAAACAGTGCTTCACACTGTCACAAAGATAATGACTGTCAGCAAAACTTGAATGTTTTCCGTGACTTGGCCAAGTCTCAGCGCGTAGAATGAATCTACAGTGCACAATATCGGCTCCATGCAGCTGCTTACTACATTCATACTAGGGAGCATATTTTACACATTTGAAAAGCAAGTATTGAAGCTGCAATAGTCTTGTAAAGAACGGACCTACAGATCTGAGATGCAAATTTGAGTCAGTACATTTTACGACAGCTTTAGAACAATAAAAGCAATTGCACTTGGAAAACTCCTCCTTTTAAAAGGCACCACTCATTACTGGCTTATATTACCAGATATTGGCATCCCTGATTCAATGGACACAAATATCTCACTCACCGGTGTACTGTCCTGATTATCATTGAGTTCAGAGAGCTTGCTGCTTGATTTCTGTCTTTTTGGTTTGCTCCTCTCTTCAATGTAACCAGAGCAATTATCCTGAAGTTTCTCCACTTCCTGCAACAGTCCACAATCCTCGAAGCCACCGCACCCAGAAGGGATGTTTTTTTTTTTAATCATCTCCCTAAAAAAAAAAAAACCACAAGAAATCTTTAACAAGACTTTTTACAGAAATATATAGACAAATCTCTTGCAAGATGCAGGTTGGCTGTAAAGTATGAAGATCAATAGGTTATCAACTGACATTTTAATACAATTAAAAGAGCCAATGTCTTTATAATGAAAACACTAGCACCTGGTGGAAAAGTCCAAATCAATACAGGTAAAGTGAATTTAACAGCACCACTCTGTCGTTTTGTATAGAATAGGGGTTACAAATAAAAGGTGAACTGAAATTAAATATTTAAAACCGAAACAAAACCGAAAATTAAAAAAAATTAAAAATCTCAGGCCGAAAATATAAAAGTTTTTTTTTAAATATTACATTTTTATAATAAACGTAATTTTTAAATATTTTATTTATTTTTATTAAATATGTGTATTATTTTACTTTACATTCGGGGGCTCTGGGGAAATATTAGGGGTCTAAACAGATCTCTGATATTTCCCTTTTAAAATAGAAAAAGAGATTGAGAGATTGAGTCCTCACTCTTTTTTTCTGCATCGCCTGTTGTAAATGAACATGAAGCCGCTATACTGAGTGTTCCTGTTCATTCATAACTTGGAGATAGTATGTTTACTATAACCACAATCATGAATGAACAGGAGGGGATGTAGATCACTTCCCATTCATTCATAATTGAGGATACAGTAGACATACCATGTCCTCAATTATATACAAACACTCAGCGATCACTGATCACTGACTGCTTGTACCCGCTGTTCTCCATTCTGACTCGCTGTCACAGGAGGCTGAGCAGATTGGTGCAGGAAGGAGCGCTTGGTCTCCTCTGACAGCTAACTCCTCCCCCACACTGCCAGCCCAGCCTCCTGTGACAGCTATTTACCGCCCCCAAACAGCTCTCCTGATCGGTCACAGTAGGCTGAGTGGGGCGGTACGGGAGGAGAGCTCGGCTTCTTGTGACACGCCGGCTGCTGACAGTGCTCTCCTCCCCCGCACCACTTGGCCTTCTGTGACAGTTTCTCTCCTCCCCGCTGAACACTCCGCTTTGAGAGGGGACACAGAGCAGCACCCAGCGGGGAGGAAAGAAAGCAGGCATGCACCCCAATTCCGGTCCAAAAGATAGCACTTTCGGCATTTTGCCAGAATTGCCATTTTCGGCCAATATGTCTCGGCGGCTGTAATTTCAGTGCATCCCTAGTTACAACCCTTGCGCTTTGCTTTGCTGCCTGTGTCCCTTTTGGGACATTTCTCTTCACTTCTTGCCCCAGAGGCACAACAGGAAGTAAAAGGTGATATTTCCATAGCGAACAAGATATACCTTCGGACAGTTGTCACAAGAACAGGTTTCCCAATTGGAAGATTTCGCCTCACCTTCTGTTCATGTGATATCGCAATTGTTTTGGATTTCCCACAACTTTCCATTCTGGAGACAATGGAAAGATAAGCAATGGGAAACTAATATTGATCTTTTTAATGTGATACTTGTTGTTTTGTGTGTGACCTAAGAACACACTACATATCTGAACACTCCTCCAAATGATCAATAGTCCGAACATTTATTTTTTTAGTTTTGGATTAAGTGGGGAAAGGTTTATTCAGGTTTTCCTACCATAGAAGGCTCCATTTGAGAGTTTCTTTTACTTCCTGCCTAGTAAAAAAAAAAAAAGGTTGCTCCAGGGACAGGAAGGGGAAAATCTCCGCAACATCAACACAGACAGAAGACATTTTTTTTACAGTTAAGAAGGGAAAGGCCACTGTCAGCTTTTATTGTTGCCCGTTTCCTTACTACAGATTTTCCCTCATTTACGGTCTGGTAAAAGGTTGTCACCGAAATAGAAAGTCAGGGCAAATCCCTTTGAGGGAGACCCAAATAGAACCCCTGTCAGGCTTTACTGCTAACCTTTCCACATTCTATCCAAAACTAAATAAAAAGATTTAGGGTATAAATACTCTTTATTTCAGGCTTTCCGGTGACGGGTACGGGTTAATGCTACAACATACAAAGACAGACATTTTAGACAACTTTGTGCTTCTGACCTTGTGGTAACAGTTTGGGCAAGTCATTTTTGTGTTCCACCATGACTTTGCCCCTCAGCAGAAAGCCAAGCCCATGAAGACATGGTTTGATGGGTCTGGTGTGATGGAACTGGAGTGGCCTGCATACAGCCCCAATGAACACCTTTATGATGAATTGGAATGCCAACTACAAGTCAGGCGTTCTCATCCAACCTCATTACCTAACCTCACAAATGTTTTTGGGTTACAGGAATACATTTAATAATATACCTCTATGCAGAGCCACTATTGAAGCCGGGAGGGATCCCAACAATATTGTTGGCATCCACATTGCTGCCTGATTGACAGCTGTCTCTCTACAGCCAGAGTAAACTGTTCCTCCAGCATTCATTAAGAGACGGACACAGTGCGGGGAGGGAGGAATCCCTACAGGGAGCAGTGACTGACACTGACTGCCCTCTGCAGGTAGAAGAGACTGTGAGCCGAGTGATCAGCGGTTACAATATTGCTCAGTTCTCAGTATTTAGAGTTAGTGTGTGGCAGCTGCATTGTCGCATACTACTTCTAAAAAGTAGGGAGATAATGTTTTATTCCTTCTGCACTTCTCCTTTAATGCAACGAATAAAAGCCTGATTTTCTGTTTAATTATCTTCTTTGACAATAAAAAAAATATCACACCTTCAAAGTGTTAATTATGCTGTGCAAATTAAGCTGTAAACGTAAAACCCAGGTTGTAACACTACACATGGTGGAAAATCTGCACAGGTAGGGCTTAAAAAGAGTTAAAAAGGCATTGTCACTTCCACTGTTCGCTGTGACCACCAAAGTCACTTCCGCTGTTCGCTGTGACCATCAAAGTCACTTCCACTGTACAGATGCAATGCAAATGAATTTGGAGTACAAGCATTTAACGTAGAGAGCACTGCCAACCATATACCCATACAGGACTGTAGCTAAACTTGCTTACTTCAAAAAGCTACTAGTTCAAGATCATAATCAATTTATGGCAGTAAATAATTTCTATAAAAGGTTATTTTTTTACAGAGCAAAAATTGCTTTAGGTCAAGGACACTTAAAAAAAGCAGTTCTCTGACACAGTGTCATTTTTAAAACAATGCTACTAATTCATTCAAACTCTAATGTAACCAGAAAGCACTACGCTTCGGTAGCTCAAGCTTTATCAATCATCTGGCTGCTGATCGATTGCTGCAAAAACATGAATCTCTGACCAACAATTGCAACAAAAGAGAAGATGGGAACACAATTTTAAGTGTATTTCTCCCTTTGCAGTTAAACTTGAGAATATTCCACTAAATGTGCTCCTATTCACACAGTATACCTAAAAAGTATTTTTTTTTTACCACTTCCTGGCCGGCCGTTGTAAAAAAACGGCCGGCCAGGAGCTCTCTAGATCTGAGCGGGCATCTTTAGACGTCCGCTCAGCCTCAGCGCGCGAGCGGGAAATGCCTGTTATTTGAAAACAGGCAGCGATGCCTGTTAATATACAAGCGATCCGCCGCCTATAGAGCCGGCGGATCGCTTGTATGAGGTCCCGTGATGTGCGCCCCCTCCCCGGCTCCCCCCTCCCTGGTCCCGGGGCTCCGCTGTGCCTGGTGCATACGGCCTCTGTCACAGGGGATCAGAGGGAGGTCGGTACACGAGCTCCCTCCGGTCCCCTCTCCGCTGTCAGAATGCGGAAGTGATGTATATTACATCACTTCCGCATTCTCGTGTCACTCTCCAGCTTCAGATGCTGGAGAGAAGCGGATGAAGCAGATCTCTGCTTCATCAGCTTATTCAGGGGGGTCCTAGGTGACATTAGGGGTCTTGGAGACCCCTGATGTCTCCATAAAGAGGACCTGTCACATATTTTACTATCACATAAGGGGGTTTTCTAACCCCCCTATGTGATAGCAATACAGTTAAGTGGAAAAAAAATAGACTTTTTTTTTTTTTTACGTTTCCCCCCCAAAAATGTAAAGTTACAAATAATAAAAAAAAAAAAAAGTTAAATTATTATTATTTTTTAAAAAGTCCCCCCCATACATACACGCATGTAAACAGTCGTCAGGTGCGCATACGTGCGAAAACTACGATTTCGCCCATTACGCCGCACATGTTACATATCGTCGCGAACGTCGGAATGAGAGCAATAGTTCTAGGGCCATCAATCACTGATAACACTAAACTGATGAGCTGTAAAATCTTTTAAAGCGTCGCCTATGGTCAATTTTGGGTATGGTAGTTTTTTGCGATTTTTTTTTTGCAATTTTAAAGCATGCCATGTTTGGTGTCTATTTACCCGACGTGACCACGTCTTTTATATTTTACCAAAAATATGGGTAATAATCATTGTTTCCTAACATAATGAAAAAAAAGAACTTTTTTTCCCCAAAAATGTCAATAATTTTTCCTTAATATAGTAAAAAATAAAAACCGTAGTGGTGATTAAATACCACCAAAAGAAAGCTCTATGTGTCCCCAAAAAATGGTATAAAAATTTCAGTACAGCGTTGCATGACGGAATAAACGTCAGTCAAAGTACTGCAGCGCTGAACACTGAAAAATGGCCTGGCCAGGAAGGGGGTCTAAACACCTGGTCTTGAAGTGGTTAAAGCATATTTCTCACCTTTTCGATATGTTTGAGTAGCAGGCCTTTGCAAGCTTCTCTCTCCATTTCCAAGTGACAGGGAATTCTGATTGTCCCCATAGAAAGACTAGAGGCAGACTGAACTTCCTTTCATTGACATACAATGCCTCTAGATCTTTAACCATTTGTTAGGACAAACACTGTTCAAATCTAGTCTATAACTGATAATGAGATCGGCCAGTACAGTACAAGAGAGTTAATTAGGTTAAAAGTAGCCTGCCAGATCAACATTCAGTACAGAGAACTTTTCTTTCAGAAGAGAGCATGTATTGTGCAAGAAAAACAAAGTTATGCTAAGTGAATGAGAACATGTAACAAATATAAAATGTTATATCTCTATTTAGCTGCAAAAGTGGAAACACACTTTAAACTGCAATATGCAATACTGTGTGCAATATAGACAAGATTTTTAAAATACATTTTCCCTGGAAACAATGTATACCATCTGAATTCTTCATTTTATAGCATTGAGGGATCCCCTGGGTACCATCTACATGCTGATGAAGGGAGCACAGTATCTGCCCTCAATCTCTTTCAAACAAATGTTGGTGCTTGAAGACTGAAACCTTGATAATCAAACACCGTTCTGCACGTTCATCTCTAAATAAAAAAATTATTTAATGTGGGAAAGTTTCGCTCGAGGCCTCTCTAATCCCCTGGGCCCTTGCATAAGTCACATGCACTACTATGATAACTACTGGTAATATTAGAATTTCAATTCCTGACAACTGGGGATTCAACGATAGCGATACTAGTATCGGTGCCGATACCAAGTATTTGGGCGAGTACTTGCCCAAATGCTCTGTGACCTTCCCCGATACTGGAATTTCCGGTCAGAGGATAATATCCTCTGACCAGCAGTGCCGTAGGGGAACATGGAGCTGGCTTTCTGGGCAATCAGCATGAAGCCGGCTTTCCGGGCCAATTAGGAAGCGGGTCGTTACTCACCACCCGATTCTTGATTGGCCGGGAAGCCGACTCGATCGGCTGGGAAGCCAGTTTCCCAGCCAATCACAATCGAGCCAGCCAAACAATATGGAGCCGGCTACCGGGGCAATCAGGAAGCCGGGCAGCATCTCATTACATTTTGTCACATCTCTGCCCTGATGAAGGGACCCTGCGTGGTCCCGTAACGTTGGATTAAGCGATATGTGTGACGTTTAGTCCAAATAAATGGACATTTTTTAAATTTAATTTACGGAGAGCTGGTGATGTCTATCGTTTATTGACTGTGGTATATGGCGCTATCTGTGATTGTCACTGCGAGCACCACTATTGCTACTTGGACCGGAAGTGCTGTAAGGAGTGCAGGGGGACCTATTGTTTTCTGGAATTACATGCCACCCGGCTTCCTGACTGCCCGGGAAGCCGGAAGCATGCCAGTGGAAGCAGCGGTATCGGTACTGGCGAGTACCAAAAGCAAAATATCGGTACTCACACTCAATACTGAAAAATTGTGTCTACAAAAGGTAAATATTGTGTTTCATCATTGCAACCCACACAATCTGCTATTAGAGGCCCTGATACAATCTGCGCTATTTTTTTTTTCAAGAGAACAAATTAACAGCACCTGGCATCAGATGCTTGTTAGAACAAAATTACTACACTCACACAATGACAATCAGCCATTAGTTTTCTCTATTCAACTGCATATAGCAGCCTGAAAGATACACATCAGATTGATTTCAACAACATAATTATTGAGCATTTAGTGATGTTTGTAGCACGCAAAGAAAACCTTTGTACATACACTATGTATTCGGCATTGAAATGACGAGTGACAGGTCCACTTTAAACCCAATGCATTCTAATAGAGACCCAGTATTCTCTTACATGTCTCTGGGCTTTTTCCGAATCTCATCCTGCTCTTTCAGATGTCTTCTCCTCTGTCTTGCAGACAGGCTTGTCGAAGGTGAAGATGTTCCAGATTCTGATTCCTCTGAACTTTGACTTCCAGGACCAAGAACATCAAAAAGGTGTTGCTCCACGGCAGTCCTGATTGTCCTCTCCAAAAGTCTGTGAAGAGCAGAAAAGCTGTTGCAGATGATGCATGCACACTGAACATATCATTTACGTAGCATGCGAATTCTTCTAAGTTGTCCTTTTCCGTATTATGCAGACACCTCAGTGAATCAGAAGCACTTCACACACAGGGCTAACCCACGACCCTTCAGCATATGTCTCCCATTTATTGAAAACCAGAGAGGTAGCAAAAGTGGAAGAGGACAGCCTGTGTGTATTTAGTCAGAGCAGACATTGACAATTCACATATACTCATAAACATATATTTAGGTCGCATAATAAATATAAGGAGGATCTGCATGGTTAGAGAGCAAAAAAACGTCAGAGCAAGAAATGGTCCAATTCCAGAAGCCAGTTAGTATATATACAGCTATATATATGTTTTCTGGTTCCTTAACAGGGTATCTAGGTACACCTTCAAGAGTTGACTGGCTGGCTTCTAATTTCAATATAAATCCCAATTCCAACCAGAACCTTTTCTGGACAGAAAGAATGGGAAAGAGTTAAAACCTCTGTCATATTTAATTGTTGTCTGTAGCCCAGATGACTACACTGGAAGTAAAAGTAATGTTCCCAATCTTTATCCAGACAGCAGTAAAAACTAAAAAAAGGTTCTAACCCTTACCAACCTAAAAAAAAAAAAATCTTTGCTGGCGACCACACAGGAAGCACAAGTGAATGTCCACAGTGGAGAACTTTATACAGGACTAAAATCCTGAAAGATCTTTTAAACCAGGATTGGGCAACCTTGTCACCCCTGCCGTTATGGAACTACAAGCCCAATGAGGCATTACAAGACTGAAAGCCACTGGCATGACGGGATTTGTAGTTTCACCACAGCTGGAGTGGCCAGGTTGCCTGCCCATGTTCTACCCTTTTTCACTCTAGTCTAAGCTAAAAGAAAATCTCAACGATTAAAAATAATTTATGGAAAACAAAATTAAAACTAACACTATGAGGCCCAGTCAATTTTAAAGTGCAAAGAGCAAGAATTCTGCGCAGTGTATAGCATTCCATGGATGTCATTTAGAAACAACAGGAAACAGAAATGTTTCAGTTTGATATGGGAGATGACATATACCATTGCTTTTTGCATCATTTCACCACCCTAAGATCATACCATTGCTCTTTACATCATTTTGCTACCCCAAATCACAATGAAAGCTTTTACAATGAAGCCACTGAATATAGAAATCAGGAAACTAATCAAAAGTCAATTTTATGTTTCAAGGTTGAACTATTGGCAGAGATTAAAAATGTAATTTTAGGTGATGAATACGCACATTGTTCAGTATTCTCAGGTTCTGTAGTAAATAAGACGTAATCTCAAATCCTGCTAATCACTGCCTACCTTCTATATGGAGACACACACTAACACACAAAAAGCTTAGTCACTTACTCTCTTCCAGCAGGGACGGAGCTGACCTGGGCCACGTGACCGCTGCAAAAAGAACAGAATAACAGTTGCATTACGTGACATACTTTGTCAAACTAAACACTACTGAGCCAAAAGAAGAAAAAACAAAACAAAAAAATAGCCATGCAACACGCTCTGCTACCCTCTGAGAAGGTTTGCATCATCACCAAAAGTGGATTAAAATGTGATCCTCTGACAAGCTCTAATCCCCTATACACAAGCATAATGCAGACTGCTTTCATACTGATGTACCCAATCTTAGCATAACTAGATTGACTGCCCTGACTCCCCTGCACATGAAGTATGATTTTACAAAAGATATTATGGAAAAACGTGTCGAGAGTTGCTCTGAAAATATATAAAGGCCATGCTAGGATAGGTAACTTGTGCTTGATTAAATGTGTTGCAAGTAAAACAACCATTTAAGTAAGATATCTCATGCCAAAAGAATGCAAAATTGTTAAATAAAAAAAACACTCGGGGCTCGTTTACACTATCCCATCCATTTTAGAGGACTGGCTAGTGCGTTTTGGCAGATCCGGTAGTATGCATTGCAATGCACACTGGCGGAGCCGTCACTGTGTGTGTGTGTGTGTGTGTGTGTGTGTGTGTGTGTGTGTGTGTGTGTATATATATACATACACACACATATTTTTTTGTTTAACATTATGTGAAGTGTAAAATATGTACACTCCGTTCAGGTCCCCCATATGGCAGTACAGTTGGCTACACAGAAACCTGTTGTGGCATCTAGTGAACTGCGGTGAAATCCAGCATGTTTGCATTTTATCACATCACACCAACCCGCCCATCACACCTGCATTGTGATGTGAATGGGACACGTGTGTCCTTACAGTAACCTGTATTGATCCAATGCAGTACAACACAGGCAACACACCACACAAGCCCTCAGGGCTTCTTCACATCATGTCCATTGAGTTGCATTTCTCTGCACACCACGGCACATCTACTGTGTGAACAAGACGAAAATTCCAAAGACACACTACTATTACACAAGTATTGTGGAAACTGGTAGAGATGCTAAGGGGGCGACAAAGGAGAACTATGGGGTCAGGGGTTTTCCACATAGTTCTCCTTAGGATAACGGGAGGACACAAACCAGTGTCCTCCCGTCACCCTAGGCTCAGTATACCGCGAGCTATAGCTTGCGGTATACTGAGATGCCGCAGCCGGAGCGGATCCCAACATCGATGTCGAGATCCGCCCAGCTGCGTGATTGACAGCTGGCTCTGCCTATCTAGAGGCAGATCCAGCTGTACCCGCCCCCTGCCCCGTCCGTTCCGCCAGTCAGCGCTGGAGGATCGGAGCGGGGAATCAATCCCCTCCCCTGTCACGGCAGAGAGCCGTGACAGGATCGAGAAGTGAGCGAACACCGGCATGTGTTCGCTCACCTCCCGATCTACTGAGCCGACCTGTGACAGTCTCATTGTCACAGGTCGGCTAGAACTATGAGGTGAGTGAAAAGCACTTACCTCATAGTTCTCCTTTAACTAACTCTATAATAATGCCCCTTGTTTTGGAGTGGCTGTGCATGAAGCTCATATAGGTTATATAGTGTGAATATTTAAACAATATTGATATTAAAGATCTTTAGAAGAATTCAAAATATTTGGGTGTCTGGTTTTCCCCACCTAACCTAACAGCAAATACTGGTAAAAATCTTAATGGTCTAGTATAAAAATATAACAATATTGACTATGTGGCATTTCTGTTATTATGAGTCAACTTATCAAATAGTGTGTTATTCTAGGCATCTACAAACAAGACAACCTGCATAAGATTTTATAGCAAAGGCTTCAGATACCAAAGCCCAATAAAAAAAAATTATACAAAATACATTGGTACAAAATTCTGCAGCACACACACACACACACACACACACACACACACACACAATTAATTCCAAGCAGACTCACATCCCTTACATGGCACACAAAAAAAAACCCCACTGTCCTTACACTTGCCCTTGTATCCATTTAAATGGTCTTACCTCACAAAACATAGTTATGATGGATAAATCACAAGATACATGATTCACTATCCCCGGGTTGCAATCTACTCCTAAACATATCACAAATTCTCAGAGGTGGGTTCCCCAGTGGCAGCTCAGGAGATCTTGTTTCTTAGGGACTATTTCACAGGCTTTCACCACCACTATTTAGATTGTGCAAGAATGTCCCACAAGAGGCAGATAGCTCCATACTTGCCTAGTGAACACATATTTGCATGGATACTTCATAAAGGTTTGTTTTTTTCAAACTTGCCACCATTTGAATCTGGTATGGCATATACCATGGAGAAGAAAATCTTCAGCGACTACAAAATCGCATTCCTTCAACTTTTTCTTTAAATGAATGATTAACTATAAAGCTTATAAAGGTACTGAGTGTAGTCTAGTAGCAGTAATGCTGATAAAGGAGTCAACAAGTACTACCTTGTGACCTGTGTAAACTATACATTAACATTTAATGCACTGATAAAATAATACATAATGTAGATCTTTTGCCTTCTGTGTCCCATTTGAGAGACATCCTTTGACTTCTTGTCCTGTAGACACAACTAGAAATGGGAGGAAATGTATCCAGTGCAAGGTAAATGCCCTCTTGATGTTCACAAAAACAAGTGCCTCATTGCAATCCACCCCCCTACTATTCCTGTTCTGCTTACACTATAATTTTAATAATTTTCTTCACTTTCAGTCCTGGTCACAGTGGTCAGGTTGCCTTGTTCTGGGGAGGGCAAGGGAAAAGAGTGGATCCAATTGATTGCCACAGCCAACCACACCTTTTTAATTCCCCCTATCCTTTCTAAAGCTGCCCATGCACCTATAGATTTTCTGCAGATTTTCTATGGTCAAATGGAGAAAGTGCAACAAATTCCTCCATCTACGCTAAACTGTGTGGATGGAGGAATCTCCCACTGGGCCAAGCTTCAGTATCTTGCTAGTCGGCCCCACTGGCTGCCATATTACCTGAACAATGCCTGCATCCAATCAGATTGTTCTGGTATTTTCAGAGCCAGCGGGGGCGACTAGCAAGATAGTGAAGCTTGGCTCAGCGGGAGATTCCTCCATCCACACAGTTTAGTGTAGATAGAGAAACCTGTTGCACTTTTTTCATCTGACCATAGAAAATCTGCAGGTAATCTATAGGTGTATGGTCAGCTTTAAGGTATGCTCCCCAGTACAGCCCTGCATCTCCTTTTAACTCAGACTGTATAAGCATAGTTTTCTTTAACAGGTTAACCTGCCCCCTGATTGTTTCTTCCCTAGGGTGTATGAATTCAGTGAATGAATATCATCTTCTGCCTGGTAAGTTGACTTGACTTTGGAAGAAGGAAAGCTGATCCACAGAGTAGCAGAGTGATCTTACCGACTACCGCAGGTATGTTTATCAGAAGAATGGCTGGCTAAAGCGGGTAGAATATATATTTAATTTCAACCAAGCATTTAGCCGTTTGCCTAGAGTTCTTCCAAAAATTCCTCTCTATTTTTTTTTTTCAATCTATATATACACACTTTATTTTACATAATTAGACATCTGTGACATAGCACAACAAACACTTTAGGAAGGTCCAAGTATAGTAAATCTACAGCCACCACTCTGTCCAAGGTTCTGTTTACTTCTCCACTGAAAGGAGACCACATGAATGTTTCATTGCTTCTATTGCATATACCTATACGTGGCCAACAACTGCTAAGTAAATCAGTCATTGGGGGTAAGGGAGGAAAAACTGCAACGGGTATAAAAGGCACATATAAAGTGCACATCTGAGAAGCCTCCCAAACCTTTTTTAAGCTTGAGAACTATGGGGAAAAACACTTAGCCCATAGCTCTCTTTTAAGGGCCACGAGAGGACATATACTAGCGTTCTCCCATGACCCAAAGCTCAGTATATCGCGAGCTACAGCTTGCGGCATACTGAGGCCGCTGCAGCCAGGACGGATCCTGACAATGCTGTCGAGATCCACCCTGCTGTGTGAATGACAGCTGGCTCTGCCTATTTAGAGGCAGAGCCAGCTGTGCCCGCCCCTTCTCCCGTCCGTTCCGCCAGTCAGCGCTGGAGGATCGGAGCAGGGAATCCCTGCAGGGAGCCATGACTGGCAGTCACCGCTCTATGCAGGGAGATGTTCGAGCAGTGAGCGAGCGAGGGTATGTGTTTGCTCACTTCCCGATCTATTGAGCCGACATGCGACAGTTTAATTGTCACATGTTGGCTCAAACTATGATGAGGAGTGATTTTCACTCACCTCATGGTTCTCCTGTAAAGGAAAGGTATAGTTACAAACATTTTCAATGCAACTGCACCCATATGCCTTTTCCATGTTAATAATAGACCCCACTAAAAAAAGTTAGACCGGGGGGGTGACCATGATCCATGGCCTAGGCCAGTCAGGACTCCCTAGGCTAGGGACTAATATATTTGCAACTCATTCTTAAGTCCTAAAAATGTGACATGAGATTTGTCTATCCTTTCTACTTTTGAAAATGAAAAATAGACTTGCCAGGAAAATATGTCAGTGCACAGTACAAGTTTTGGACAGGGTAGTAACAAAGAGGTAATGAGCATCAAACCTAATTTCTATGAAACTAGTAAACCATATAAAAAAAAAATGCAATCAAGATTCAAAATGTGTAATAAATGTTGACCCCTTAATTGCATTGTTGAGTTGCTGGGGAAATATCCTAAACACTTTGCTTAAGAAATCTAATGTAAAGCCGTGTAGGGTGAATACAGTTATTGATGGCGTGCTTGGCAAGCAGTATTTTGACTAGTGTTGTCTTTCTGGTTTTATACTTCACTGGGTTTAGGCAGCTTTCTTTATCTTTGCAGTCTGGAATGGAATTTTGCTTGTATAAAACAAAGAACAGTTGTAGTTTGGCTAATCATATTATAGATTTAATTTGATCACAACAAAAGAAGGGATTTACCTTACAGTTCAAGGCTATCCGATTGGCACGTGAACCACAAAAACTGTTAATAAATCACACGTTGGCTCTAAT